AGCATCTGCCTTCGGCTCAGGTCATGATCCCAGAGTCCTGGGATGGAGCCCCGCATCAGACTTTCTACTCCGTGGGAAGCCTGCTTCTCCCCTGTCCCCTCCCCCTGCCTTTGCCCCCCCCCCTCCCCCCCCCCCCCCCCCCCGTCAAATAAATAAATAAAATCTTAAAAAAAAATAAAGTTACCAAGATTCAAGGCTGTTTGTTGCTGCAGCATGACCTGGGCTATCCTGACTGATACAAGGGGATGGACTTTACCTGGGTGGGGCAGCAGAGACAAGAGAAGATACACAAGGTGTAGGGATGGGGCTGCACAGCAGTTCTGGCATCTCAGCTGAGCACACAGACACCTCCGTGTCTACTGCCCTCATTCCCACCACTCCTGTAACACCCAACACACACCACCCACTCCGGTGTACACCCTCCTGATGCCCTCACACTGCCATATAGCACCCAACTTCAAGCCTTGTGACTACCATTTCTTCTCTCTTCCCTTCCATCTGGTCAAGCATCTTAACCATTCCTGAGGGCACAGATAAGGCCCCATGTCCTGCAAGGCATCTCTCTACCCACAGAGATCAGCAGAGACACTTTGGAATGACCGCAGTGTCTGTGGTCAGGAGGTGTCTTTGGGACTTAACTGGGTGCCTTTAGCCTCTTCCGTGTTAAGAAGCCTCTACTCCATAGACTGGTAATGAGACCAAAGGCTCCAGTTCCTCTGTGTCTGGCAAGCTCATAGCAGATACTCCATAAATACAGACTAAATAGAAGTGCCATGAACGTAATATTTCTTGAGTATCCACAGAAGCTGAGTAAAAATTCAGGTACTTCTACTAAGATATCATTTGTACTAATGAGATTAACCAATTCATAACCAAATACTATGATCACTGGAGGGCAACAAGATGACTGGCAGAAAACTCCTTTTACCCTTTCCTTTTACCCTTTTACCTTTTCCTGGGTCAGAGGTGAGCGTGTATTTGAGGCTCACCTCTGCCTACCACCTGCCGTCCCTTGGGTCAGGTTCAGTGTCGGCACCTAGAATGAACCTAGCTGCTGGTTAGCAAAGGTGTCAGGGAGGATAAGGGAACAGTGGAGAAATCAGGAAAATCCAGACTTGCTGCTACTTTTAGCAGCTATCTATAACCCACTGTCTTTTCTAGAGACCCAGAAAATAATGAAAGAGATTTCCAAAGAGGTTCAGAGAAGTCTATCATTTTGCAGTAAAGGTGCTGAAACATGTGCCACACCTGGGTCAACATCTGATTCTCTGGACCCTTGACACAAGAATCTACTCACTCCTTCCTGAGGCTTTGTTTGCTAGCGGACATCAGGATGGCACAGGGGAGTGCCCTCCTCTCACCATTTCAGGGAATGTGGGATCCCAGACCATCGGCTAAGACTCAAAGACATCACTTCTAACACATCTCCACCTTTCCCGGGCTCCGCAGGAAACTGCCCCATAAGGAGGTGTGCCCATGAGGGCTCCGGTGACGATTTCATCACCTTGCTCAACAGCCAGCACTGCGGGCCAACAAGTTCTTCAGACAGGAAGTCCTTCTCAAGGACTAATCAGACGCTCTGTTGCTGCTGTTGTGCACATTAATTTTCCTCCCTTGACACTTCTGTGCAGACAGAGAAGAGTGGCTAGCTCCTGACCTCATACAACCTTTCATATACCTTTGGCTTTCTTCCCTGAATACTAAATCCCATGCTGGCACCCAGAGATGTTTTCTAAATGCACCAGGTTGCACTCTCTCCTATCGGCTACTCTCCTGTAAATCATCTCCACAATGATTCCCCCACTACAGTGAAAAGCTGGAAACGACTACAGCTTCCTAAGGGACGAGGTGATAGATGAGCTCTCTCGGAAAGAGGCCGCCAGGACGCCAAATAATCCCTAATATGGCTGAATCCCAGTTGTGGACCGTTAGAGAGCCCAATTTCCTCTGAGCCCCTTCCTCCCATCTCATGGGACTCAGCCTGCCCTAGGTTATCCCCACTTTGTAGGGCTCAGAGAAGGCAAGGGTTTTCCCCTTCCTCTTCTCCTCACATTAGTTGAAATAACAAAATAAATAATCCAGTGCATGGCTAACCCCCAAAGGGAACCTGCATCTGGGCTATTCCTTCAGGGCAGGGTCGGTGACCTGCCACACAGAGCTCCCCAGGCAGAGTATAGAACCTCAGCATCCTCCAGCGGCTCCCACTCTCCTGGGCGCAAGTGGCTAAGGGGGAATGCCAGCTCAGCCAACCACCCTAGTTTCAATCTACCTTTAGTTCCCTCTGAAATTCTCCCCTGTGGGTGAATGTGGGGTGGCAGAGCTGTTCCGCCACCCCAATGACCTCAAAAAGCTCAGCAAAGTTGGTGGCCAAAGGAACAGGGCCCACCAGGGACCGACAGTATGGACTGGGCCTGGGCTAACTCAGTGCCGTCTCGGGAGTCTTAACTGAGTGACTACTGTGTGCAAAGCCCTAGGGCAGGAGTGGCCAGGGATAGAGAAGCAGCCCTAGCGCTCATCTCAAGGTCGACCAGCTGGCTGAGGGGACAGTCAAATGTACGTGGAAGAGTTTGATTCGGCATGAATTTGTGCCCCAGGAGCCCCCTCCCAAAAAGGCTTCGTCCTCTGGGCTTATCAGGGAAGAGAGTCAGGTTTACATGTGTATTTAAAATTTTAATTTCAGTGTTTTTTTTTTTTTTTTTTAGAGAGAGAGAGCAAGTAGGGAGGAAGGGGCAGAGGGAGAGGGAGCGATCCCAAGTAGGCTCTGTGCTCAGTGCAGAGCCTGACGCGGGGCTTGATTCCATGACCTGAGATCACGACCCGATCCAAAATCAAGAGTCGGACGCTCAACCAACTGAGCCAGCTGGGTGCACCAAGGCAGGTTTATTTTAACCAGACCCCATTTCTACCCTTCTGGGGCTCTTGTTCATAATGAGCCTATGTCTCAGTTCTACTTACCAGGAAAGGATCAAATATGAGCCTTTTATGATTTCTTCTTTAAAGTCACTTGCATTCATTTTGTCTAACTCCACGTACCCAAGCCAACTGTTCAACTGCCTTCTGGAGGTGGGATTCAGGTGCTCGTGGTACTAGGGTGCCCCCTCCCACAGGCCCCCCAGTCCTGCTCCATCAGCCTAGGGTCTGGCCGACTCCCCACCCACCATCCTCCAGGGGCGTGAACCTGGCCATGAAAGGATGCCATGGGGTGAGGGAGGCAGGTGAAGGGGAAGTGGGGGCACAAGTAGTTCTCTGACCCCTGGAATCCTGTTTGGAATGACAGGTGAATGAGACCGGAGGGAATGGGTGGGAAGAGGGGGCCCAGAAAAGGTGATTAAGTGGGGGGGAGGAAGATTCTGGAAGATTCCAGAGCCAGACACCTACTAACCAAATAATAGAGAGCTAGTATTTTGGTCTCTCATTTATCAGCCATTTATGTCCCCTATCCAAGAATTTAACCCTTCCCTGGAACCCTCTGGTTCTTGAGTCCCCAGACCCAAGCTCACTTTTGCCCCTGAAGAGTTAAGAGAGTCTTCAGGTAGGAAATCCCAGGGTAATTGGCAGGCAGTGCTCTGATGTGCCAGGCCTCAGGCCATGGCTAGAGGGATTCAGGGAGGATAACACAGGGTTCCTGACCAAGTACTGGCATTCTAGTGGCAGGGACAACAGTCCTCCATGGAAGGATACCTATTACAGTAAAGCAAAGTAAATGGCCAAATGGGGGGAGGGGCAGGTGAGAGACCTGGGTTCAAGTCCCAGCTGGGTGAGATCATGACACCTCCATGGACTTCAGTTACAAAGTGGCGTGGAGAAGCTAGACAGGCCCCCAGAGGTCACTGAGTTCCCTGAGTTTTATAGGAGGAAGCTGAGGATGAGAAGAATTTCTACCCAGTTTGTGGCAGAGCAAACAGGAGAACCTGGGTCTCTTGCCTCCTCCCCTCCCCACCACCCCAACCCAGGGTTCTTGTTCGGCCTCCTGCCCAAGAAACAACAAAACACACACAAACAACCTGTAGTGTGAGAGGGCAGCCATCCCCCCACACCATGGTGGACAAAGCCCTGCAGTCTAAGAAAGATCTAGAACTGAGGCCACTGACCATCTTCGCTTAGGACAGAAGAGAGAGGAGTTTATTTAACTGGTGCCATGGGACTGAAGTCAGACACAAGCAAGCAGGCTCAGGGCAATGTGTGAACACAGCTGCTCTGAAATTTCGAACAAGTGAGTGCAGGAGCCCATGTCTCTCTGGACAGGTACAGCACGGACCTGGGCTTGTGGTTCCTTTCAGCCTCCAATCCCATGGTCTTCCAGGAATAAGGTATCAGCAAAAACAGATGGACAACCAGGGGATATAGGATGCCTGAGGGTTACCAGAGCAGCTGTCTCTTTCCTACCGGCCACAAACCCCACACCTGTGTGGGTGCCCCCTTGGGATCTCATAGGAAAGCAGCAGGGAGAGAAGCAGCGGGCTCCAGCAGGGAACAGGAAGCTGGATGGCTGGGGGCAGGGGGCACTGACAGCTCACCCCCACATTCTGCCCCTCTAGGTCCTCTGCTCAGCTGGACCAGAAGTGATCTCAAATGCCCCACCAGCACCCGAACCTTAGGAATCCCACTGTTTGCGAGATCTATTACCAATGCTGATGTGCAAACCTTCAAGTTCATTCAGGCTACGACTGTATACAATTCAACACCTCATTTATCCACTCCCCTCTCAACGGACGTGCGGTTGTTTGCAGGTATTGATGCAAAAATCGTCAAATGACCAAAAAAAAAAAAAATCAAACCAAAAAACCTCAAGAATCTATGTGTTTTAAGGAAGGCGTGCTTCACTGTGGGCTGGGTATTCAGGGAGAACCTTCCAGAGAGCGGACCACACACTCCCCTCTCTTATTTCCTGCTCTCTCCACATCACCCAGCCCAGGAGAGCCATCACAGAGCCAGCCCAGGAACGGCAACAGACAAGACACGTGACCACCCCCAGAAGGCGCACAAAGCTGGTTCCCTACCTGCTGTGGGGGAGCTCGGCCTCGGGAGAAGGAACAGCTGCTGTCCAGCTGCTCACTGCAGTCTGTTGTCCACTGCAGGAGAGAAAGGAGTGGTCAGTGATGGCTGGACATGTAGGCTCGTCCTCACCCTACCGGGGCCTTCCTGGGACAGCCCTGCCCTTCTGCAGGAGAGCCGGGATAAAATCCTACTTGGCCATTTTCAAAGACAAATCCTTCCCTACCAGCAAGTTCACTTTGGCATCTCCAAATTCCACCTTGAGGTGACCCCTCTGGTGTATGCTTGGGGAAGGCAAAGTTCCTTCCCTTAACCTAAGCCCACCAGAGGGATCGAGACCGGCTGCCTTGCAGTCAACCACATAGGACAAAAGTTATTTACTTTGAACAACCAGCAGTGTATCTGACCGCCTGAGCTGGAGGGGAGCAGAGACGTGTGGAACTTCCCATGCACCCAGCTCCAGGGGACAAGGGGCCCGTGGGCTGACAGGAAGAGCCCCAGACTGGCCATCAGAAGCCTGGCTCCAGCTCAGTCCCAGCACTCACTCCTCAAGAGCTCAGAGACCGGGGGTGCCCCAAAGTGTGGTCTAATGACCACTTGCTTGAGATTCCCCGAAACCTGCCGCTCAGAAGTCCCTGGGTCCTACCCTCCACCCTCGGTGAGGGTGGGGCTGAGCTGCAGCATTTTGACAAGCTGCCCTCGTGATGCACCAGAGGCTTGAGAGCCACTGAAATCATGGATTTCCCAGGCTTTGTCCGGTAACCTACAAAACGCAGCCAGCAAGGCTGGCTGACTGCAAGGCTGAAATGAAGGACTTCTGTAAAACTATAAAGACACCGTAGAGATGTGAAATAGTAGTAACAGCACGGCTTTTCCTCTGTAAGGTGCCATGGAGCTCTGGGGTGGTGTTAAATGCTAGTTAGCCGCTTAGGCTAATGTTGAACACTGACCTTGACCTACACCCTGTGTGATACACAAAGAACAGAGGAGTCCAATATCGATATTTGACATACTTGGTCAAAACAGAGTGAGCATGAATGGCTCAAGGCCAGTGCAGTCTGGGTGTTGGAAAACCTTAGCTGGCCACACCCTCCTGACTGCGGGTCAAGGGCATGACCTTTGTTACAGGTACCAGTATACTCTTAGCCATCCAAACAAAATAACATGAGAGCCACAAGCATAGGAGCCACAGAGGTAATTTTAAATGATTTAGCAGCCAGATTTTACAAAGGAAAAGGTTAACTTAAATTTAATAATATATTTTATTTCTCTCAATATACCCAAAATAAGATCCCTTCAATGGGTAATTAATATAAAACATTATTTTAAAAAAAGATTTATTTATTTATTTGAGAGAGAGCGAGCGAGAACATGCACGCACGCATATGTGCTGGGGGGAGGGGCAGAGGGAGAGAGAATCTCAAGCAATTCTCTGCTGAGTGTGGAGCCCCAGGTGGGGCTCGATCTCACTACCCTGAGATCATGACCTGTGCCAAAATCAAGAGCTGGGCCCTTAACCGACTGAGCCACGCAGGTGCTCCTAAAACATTATTAATGAGATCTTTTATATTCTTTCCATACCAAGTTTTTGAAATCCACTTAGAGCACATGTCCAGCTGGGCACTGCAGAGGAGCTGACCCCTGCAGACTGTGATTCCCAGACTCCTGCGTTGGCTGGCTTCCAGCTCCGCTCGGCCACTAGGAGGCAGGAAGAAGGCGTTTCTCCCTTCCCTCTATGCTTCAGGGGGCCCTACCGGCAGGGACTGTGTCTCCTTCATGGCTCTAGACCTCACCAGAGGTGAAGAGTCATGATCTTGACTCCTGGACTTTGGCAACCCATCTCTCCTCCTTCTGTGCCTCAGGCCTGGAGGTGGGATTGCTGATCTCTGGCTTTTTTTTGCTTCTCAGTTCTATCACCTGGGTAACCAACTGCATGGAATAAATTTCCACTGTCTGGATATTTGCAGTCTCAAAGCATCTCCCCCAAGATAGTTACTAGTTGTATTAATTATTAATTATAATAAATATATTTATTAATTATGTGAAGGAAAGTGAGAAATCTGCCGGACACCACCTTAATCGAGAGATGGGGGATAACACTGGCCATATGAAGCCTGTCAGCTTCGTGGACTCCCCAGTATGATGTGTTGAAGACGGCCCATCCCTTCTGAAGCGTTCTTGCCAAGAATGCACAACCTCCATCTAATCAGGAGGAAACACCAGGCAACCCAAATAGAATAACTTTCTGGGAAACAGGTAACCAGCAGTCCTCGAGTCAAGGTCATGGAAAACCAGACCCAGGAAGGGTACACAGATTAGAGGAGAATAAGGAGACATGGCAACTTGATGCCAGTCTGGATCCTGGAACAGAAAATCAGACGTTCATGGGAGAACCAGTGAAATTCAGATAAAGTCTCATGATACCAATGTTAATTCCTGAGTTCTCATGACGGTACTATGGTGATGTAAGGTGTTCATATTAGGGGAAGCTGGACAGGTCCATGGGAACATGCTGTACTATGTTTACACCTTTAAGTTTAGTTAAAATAAATTCAAAATAATAAGTAATACGTACCTGTATGTATACACACATATTTTTGAATGATATATATAGACACACATATGTACGTACATATGTGCATAAAGTGCTTAAACTATTATAAAGACAGTTTTTATATCCTTGCAGTGACTTCTCCTTTCCTGGCTGGGATGGCCAAGGCATGCAGCAAGTATAGGCTGGGATCACGTGCCCTCCACACCATCCTAGGACAGCCTTGTGGAGAAAGGCTTCCCCCAACCCAGGTGTCCCCAACACCTCATCCCCAGCTGCAGAGCACCTGGGTGACATCTCCTGGAACAGTGACTTGTTGGTGGGCACACTGCTGGGGTGAGCAAGCAGGGTGGGGATGATGGCTCCTCTTGCCAAGCAAGCAGAGAAAAGGCTAAGGTTTCACTCATTGCTGGAGGCAAACTCGGCCCCCCGGTTAGGCTATCAGAGAGGGGTCCCGAGCTCCTGAGAGATGTCCCTTCTTTGTCAAAGCCATCCTTAACTCAGTATCCGCCCACCAGAAGCCATTTCTCAGGCGCTTTTGGAGGGGGACCTGCAATAAACACCTCCCTTCCCAGGAGAAGCGAGCCCTCCGATAATAGCCGCATGGACGGCGAGACTGAGAGGAGGAAGAGCGTGCCCTTGGCAGGCGGCTGGGGGGGTGGGTGCGGGGAAGGAAAATGGGCAAGTGGGGATTCCCGGAGAAGAACGAGCCTGGACGTGGACATAAGCAGTGGGACAGCCGCCAGCTCAGAGGCTGATGGCAGCAAGCACGACTCTCTGGTCAAGGCACTCAGAGACTTTTCCGGTAGACAGGGTCAGAAGAAGGGGGGTGACCTTGCTAGGGAAGGACGTCATCAGAGCCATGTCAGGGAAGGCTAACTAGCCCGGGTCGGGGCAGGGTGGGAAGCGGGGCAGGAGGCTTGGGTCCAGCATCCAGGTTCCCACTGGCAGTGGAGGCAAAGACGGAAATGAAGAAATGGATCTGGGAGTGTGGTACAGACAGGCAGCAAGCAGAGGGGCTGCTCCGTGTGAGGGAGAGCAAGCAAGGTGGTCAAGCCTGCAGAAACCCACCCCAGAGACCCAGTCAGGGCTGGAGAGAGGCAGGTCCCTGGGCAAAGTGGTTGTGGAAGGGACTGTGGTCCAGCTGGGCATAGCTTTCCTGCCCCCAGCCCCTCACCCCGGAAGGAATTCAGCGTGAAACCCTGCACTTATCCCACAAAGCTGTGCCCACGGGGCTGGGCTCACAAAGCACCCAGCTCCAGCAGGCACCAAGCTCCAGCGCCTGAAGGAGCAGCAGTCCCGGGACGGCTGGGATCACCACCAGCAGGGATGAGGGTTCCTTCCTCGCTCCCTAAAGCCCATTGGGAACTCTCCCTTTCCCACTCCAAAGCTCCTCCCCATCTCTGCTGGGATTGCTCCTAGGCCCTAGCCCCAACCCACTGCCTCCCCCTCCCCTTTTCGGAACAATCACCTAGAAAAATCTCCAGACGCAGACCTTCCCCAAATTTGTCCTTATCTGTCTGAGATGATTCTAGAACAGAGAAAAGATTCTGCCTGGAGAGCAGGCCCAGCTGGCCCATCCCCTGCCGCCTGATTCCACACTAGAGAGTTTCTCCTTCAAGGAAAACCGGTTTACTGCTAGGAGCAAGTCCTCTGGGGAAAGAGGTGGTGTCCTCCTGAGAAGGTCACTGAACACAAGAAGGCAGGAAAAGTGGGACATTTTCCTATATGGAAACGATGAACATCGAATTCGTGAGAGTGGTGTGGGGCCTCCAGCCCGCTGCTATGATTTATTTCTTACTTTAAAAACCTGAAACACAGATGGCACAGGGTGAAGACTTCATAAACAGGGGAGTACAGATGCTTATTCTATACCCAAAATAGATGCTTATTCTGTTACTCTTCGCTCTTATGGGCACAACTAAATTATCTCACAGCAGGAGCACCTGGCTGGCTTGGCTAGGGGAGCAGGTGACTCTTCATTTCAGGGTTACAAGATCAAGCTCCACATTGGGTGTAGAGATCACTTACTAATCTTAAGCAATAAACTTAAAAAACTCATAATAAAAAAAATAACCTGCTATCTTGTCTTCTGCATCCCAGGAGGGACAGTATTTTAGGATCCGACTTGGTAAAAGACAGGGGGAACCCATGGGGCCCTGGGGGAGGAAAAGCACAGAGTGGGGGTGGTGCTGAGGGTATACTTTTCAGGGGTATGAAGCCCCCCAGGGACTGCACTTCCCGATATCCAAGTACATTACAAGGCTTGAGCCAAACCAGCAAATTGACTCAGTACAGGACGAGACAAAGAGACAAATGGCAAAACTGCATCCATGCACCTACAGGTGTATAAATGGGAATTCAGATCCTAGATTATATTATGATGAGGCTAGTGTTTCCAGTCAGGGGAAAGGAGAGATCATCAATGAACACTAGGATTGAGACAACTGGAGGAAAGTGAGGAAAAATGACCCTTGATGTCTGCCTCACACTGTCAACAGCACATTCCAAGTTGATCAAATGCCA